ACTGCGCGTCAAGATTCTATAGTAGGTCATAAACCTGCTCGATACTTGAAAGGGCCAAAAAAATCGAAAATTAATGTTATACATACAAAATAATACTGTGGCCCGTATACGGGCCACGCGATCCCAGGAGCACGACAGGGCGCCTGTCGTCAATGGGTTAACTTGTAAAACTGGGGATCACGCGATTACGTGCTCTTCAAACAGTCACGTGACCGTCAATTTCGAAGCCGAGAAGTTCAAGCTGATTTGAGCTCCGAAATATAAAAACTTTTCTCGAGTCCACTCACGTGGAAAAAGTTACGATTGAAAAGGGGTTCCACCGAAGACTTTGGCCTACATACAGTAGCGCTCAGTAGTCTTCGGCCAAATGCTCTATCAGTTGTACTTTTCAGGTGTAATTCCTTTCGTACTGGATGTAATCATGCGAAATTTCAATATGTGTGGCGCGGGTATACTGTGAATATTTTCAACTATCAACCTGTAATCTGATCATTTTCCAGCTATACCGAAAGGCATGAGCTCGAATTCAATTGGAAATAAGAATGCTGGCCCTTCCAGAAGTTCTTTTCTTTTTGACATGTCTAAAGTGTACGAGCGCTAATGGCGAACACAGAAGAGAAGAAAAGCGCACTTAAGGTGCGAATAACTGCACACGCCAATAACTTTGCTTTTAGCGAAATCTGCTACCGCAACAAACACCTTGCTATAATTATGTTGATATTGCTGCTACGCAGTCAAGTAGCGTTGGATAGTGTAAGATATACTTCAGATAGAAATACCAAAGTTTCGCGCGATTTGGTTGACCAAGAAAAAGGTTACGAGCGAAAAAGCGTAAGAGCGTTTGGCCGACGACTTTTGAACCTACTGTATATGGTGGGTTTTGTACGTACTGTGCAAAAGAGCCATTATCCTAGTACTGCAAAAGAAGAACTCACGATCGAAAAACCTAGTAATGTCGATGTAATCGATTCGTGTATTTTTACTCCCACGAGATAGCTTGTGCAGCGTCTTCACTTGTGCCCTCATCATTCCCAGCTTTGGATTATTTAAGATTTTAACTTTGAGTTTGTCGGAGGATTGGATTTTTTTCAAGTTTGGGAAATTCAAAGACTTAAGCCCAACGTTTCCCGTAACGTAAATAGCAGGACCTGGAATAACTAACTGAGCAAGGCAGTCATCTTCAAAAAAAAANAAAAAAAAAGTCAAAAAGTGTCAATCATGCTATTATCAAGTTACTTCCGCGAGGCTAAACGTAAAATGATCACTGGAACATTGCTATACGATAAATATCAGGTCACGCGTAGGGCTTCTGTCGCTTGCGTTAATCCCTTTACACTGAACTTTTCGCAAATGAACAGACCTTGGGCCCCATCCTATTCTACGCTCTTGTAGTTTTTCATTCCTTCCTTAGGAAAATTGGTGTTAATCTCGAGAACATCCCCACATCGGCTCGAATGAGAGGCCGCTTATAGTCATCGTGTGCTTCACCGGATGGCATCTCAGGGCTAGTTGGTCTTTTCCAGCTGTTGTCCCACCTACACTCTTGTCAATGCTGTTGACCACCAAAATGGTCGATAAATAACTAACGTCACAGATGAAGAGGACAACCCTGAAGGGTTGATAGTGGTGCGGAACAACAACCATTGGTGTTCTGTAACTTAAGCGTAACTAAGCGATGTCGTGCTACGTCCTGCAGCCATATGGCATTGATTAGCTGACATAACTTTATAATTGAATCAATTATTCGATAGATGCACCTCCTTCATAGTTATTGATCTCCCTCAAACTTGCCATGGTAAAATCGCCTAGCGACTTAGTGTTGATAATTTCCAGCGAGCCATTAATCGTCGTAACTGCATCCAGGACGTGAATACGAGAAGGTCTTCCTGTAAAGGATAGACGACATATCCAACTTTTTGTTACACTTATGTAGTGCAAAGAGTCACCGAAAGTCTGATACTGATAACTTCTTCCAACCAAAAAGCACTCGTCATTTTATTGGAGCTTTCAAGTGTCTACACATGAGAGTTCCGGAGCTAGCAATACGGAACCGAATCAACAGAGAAGAGTACTAATAGCCAAGCGAGCGCTATTAGGTAGAGGGTACTAGCTGCTGTTAATTGCCTACAGCATTTATAACGACCACTTGATAGGTGTATGGGCAAGTATCGCGGAGAAACCGCGATTTTCCGATCTATGTAGACATTTTAGTGCTTGGTCTTGTTACCTTTTGATCTTTGTAAACATTTTCATTTCTTTATAGAATGCCTTTGTTAAGGATTCTTTTGATCTGATAAGGGGCTTATGTTCATTTTATGCTCAAGTTTCCAACGCTTACCTGTTACCTATGGCAAAGCAAATGCCAACGCGCCTTTAAATCCGCTGGCATGCGCTACGCTTGACTCTTTTCACTCTTCCATCCTTCGACTCTTCCATTCGTCTGGGCAGCTACTGTATTCACAGCGAAGTGATTTTCGAAAAAAAAGCGAAGCAAAACAGCCACCACTGTTCTCTTGTGTTTTTATGTGGTCAGGTAGTTCACTTAGTAGTTTCCCTGAAGGGCAGAGGATATATAAGGAGTGGGTAAGGGGAGGGGTAACACAAAGGGAATCACATCAGCTGCTGGAACTAGGTGTTGTTTGATGCTCGTTGAAGAAACCTCGACTTGGGCCACATCACCACATCTGACCCATGGGCTGTTGCATTGGACACAGAAAAGAGACAGAAAGAACCTCTCATTTCTGACAGCTAAGTACCTTTTGCCAGTCTGTCTATTAAGACGGCCTCATTGCTTGTTCATTAGGCTTGCTTTGAGATTACAACTTTTCAAATAGCCGACAGAATTGTGCTCTCTCGTGTCATTCCGGTCAGATAGTTCCTCAACATGTCGAGAGTTACGTATTCAGGGATAACGCTGACTCAGAATGTAGTGGACATTCGCAATATTGTGTGTGCGACATTACCTTTTCAGATAAGGTGTCTCTCGCTTTTATTGAAGCTGAATTTCTACGTTGAGAAGTAAAAGCCTATGACGCGTTCAGGGTCCACTCAGCTCCTACTCCACGGTACTCAACAACAACCCGAACGCGCACCCAGTGAATTTCGCCTTTCCGGGTTCCCCAGTTGTTAGCCTTCAACATAAACCAACGTTCCCGCTCCATCTCTGTCCTTCAGTAACTTAAAGACCGGTGAAATAACATTACTTAAATTCACGTATGAAACGCTATGTTTTAGAGTAAAAACTCACTTATCAAGTTATGGAGAGTCAGGTTCCCAATAATATTTTTGCATCCGTACAAATTGTCAAGATACACGTCATCGACACGACCGCCATCACACGTCGTTTCTGAATGTTCGATCCAGTAGTGGTTTATCTACTATGTTCAAGCTTGAGTTGCCTTGATTTTGATTTTGGACCCTACTGATTACGCAAAAAACCTATTCGCGGCACAAGCTAATACCAGGGAACCAGGATGGCGAAACTTCCCCCCCCCCCCCCCCCCCCCCCCGATTCCCACGACAAGCGGCAGTGGTCACGCGAAGGTTCCCTTATCCTTCCAATAGAAATTCAAACATCCAATTGCGCGCGCGCGAATGCGCGCGATTGGGTGCGGTGAGTGCGACGTCGTTTTCGGGGAGGAGATACTGGACGCCAGAAAGCCACCTGCTCTCAGCAGTGTACCAGGCCACAGAGTCAACGCTCGGGTAGGCATTGCTTCATAGGCACTACAACACTACAATGGCAGTGGCGTATACTCACGACAATAATCAGGCTGAATTATGCTTAGACGAGGAAATTTCATTTTCATTCGAAAAGGTTCTTCGATACAGAGCTTCGAGTTGTTGAAAATTTCTGCAACAGCGTATTTTCAAATGTCGCAAAAACATTACGACAACTACAACAGTAATGAAAAGTCTTTTAGCAGCTTCATACATCAGGAGTAGTGATCAACAGTAGTAAATGTCTGAAGTCGTAAACGTCAGAGTTTTTCGTATACTTGGCCTTTTCCTATGAATTCACTCCTTCATTTCACTTTAATTTGATTTTTATTTTTCATTTCACTCGTGGTTTTGGGAAACCCATCAACTCATTCAAAAAATAAATGAACTCCAATTCCTGGGACTGTGGAATCAAACACTACACATCACCATGACGGCGTTTCCGACGGTTTGCTCCTCAGTTAACGGAAACAGCTCGTCAATGAAATGGCGAAAGCGTTCCGTGTTGCACAAGCCTTTCTCGGGGTATAGTGGACCAATCGCTGCCTGTTCATGGCACAGTGCACAAACATGTTCCTCATCAGAATCCCTGACGCTATTTGTACGTGTGACCACAGATGCACTTTGAGATATCTATGGAATTGACTGCAATTCACAAACTGGTGTGGAAAACCTTGCAACCACATGAGCCTGATGCAGGACCTCACAGCAAGCCGTAGGGAACCAAGTAGTCGCTGTTCCGGGGTCTGATTAGTTGTCGCGTTGCGGACATCAGGCAAGTTTAACTTTCGGCTAGTTTGCACTATCCCACCAATAGGACTTGGAAGTGTTTGCCGAGACTGTTGAAAAGTTATTGAGGATCAAGCCGAAGGTGATTAGGGCACAACGCGGCGTCGAGCGCGGACCACAGCTTCACAATCGAAAAACCGCCTAGGCAAATGGATGTTGGTAAGAATGTCCGCAATAGACAAGGACAAAGGAGAGGGGGCCATCGTTCCCGATGGCCGCGCGGCGAGGCAACTAACAGTAAGCCGCACATTGTCAGTGGACCAGGAACAACGTAACGCTGCCCCCCGTAGAAGTTCACTGAGGTAAGTTCGATCCCGAAATGACAATATATTTTCACAAATGTTCCGATTGGCTAAGGCAATTCTTGTAGAACAAGTTCGATAGATTTATATCAACAGAACTTTTTGAAAAAGAAATTTCCAGAAATAGAATGCCCGGAACAGTTCCCTCCCAACCTCACTCACCATATCCACATGTATTCTCCACGAATGAAAAGCTGCTGATGTCGTCGAGAAAGTCAACGTTATTGATTCGAGTGCCAACGATTTGAAGACATCCAACCAATTCCAATGAATGCACGGTAGGCGAGCGCTTCACTTCATCAATGAATCTGCTTACACGAATAGTACCGTAAACTTTCTTGCATCCATTCAAAACCGCAGTTGTCTTGAACGGTGATGGCACTCCGCATTCTGCGAAGGTTACGTATAGATACAGAGCTTACGTATAGATACACAACATAGCTTCCATACCTCCGGGTTCCTGTAAGTCCAAAACGAACCATGGAAGAGATGTTTTTATCTCATTAATCGATTCTTCCGAGAGAGCCTTATTACCACGAATTCGTATACTTTTTACTAGTGAAAAGTGTGTCATGAAATTGTGGCTAAACTTTATCGACTGCAACTTGTCATTTTGTTGAACCACTAATGCAGGTCCTGAAAGTACGACCAGGAAAGCATTACAGACCTGCAACATCGATTGAATCTTACATATTGTTGTGACAGGACAGGACATTCAGTGAGGGTATTCATAACATTCACGGCGTAGTTTGAAGCATGAAAAGAGTTTCCCGAAAGGATCTAGTAAAAATGATGGTTGTACGAGATTATGACGACTGAAACGGCAGTGAAGGGTGTGAAGACGTGAGTTAGCGCTGTAGAGTTAAGAGCTGGCTACAGATGTCAAAAATGACAAAACATATAGTGAGGGTATTCGTAACATTCACGGCGTAGTTTAAAGCAAGAAAAGAGTTTCCCGAAAGACAAGGAAAAGACCTATGGTTGTTAGATTCCTTATGAATGCGTCGCCCTTTGTGATCGTCTGGGTGTCTCCCACATGAGCGTACTATGCAACAGCGCTATACTGTTTCATTGTAAATCGTCATAACACGGTCACTTCTAGGTGAATCAAACCGGTTGTAGTCGTTATTATGCCCTGTCTATGTCGTTTTTAGGCACAACAATGCCCCATGTGCTATCCTTGGAAGCCACAGCATCATTCGAGGGGATAATTCAGAAAGCATCTCCTCCATTATTGCCTTACGAAAGTAATGTAGAATGGCGTGGGGGTCATAGTCAATGCATACGTTTTTCCAAATGAATTTCGGGACCTGTAACTTTGGATGACTGAACGACTTACAAGCAAAACCGGCTTTCGCTCATCAAAAGAATTGCAACTAAGAAACAGCGAAAAGCAGTAGAGAGAGCATCACATGGCTTGCTCAGCTATGCCATTTGTCGTCCCCTTGATCATCGATTTCCTCGAGCGAATATCAGTAAAGGCGCCAATCGCCCTTTCAAAAATTTGGGTGGCCCACTGGGTCGTCCTCGCTCGGGAAGACGAGACAAGACATCCCTCTCGTAGGGAAATTCCGGGCATCATCCTCTCTATAGCGCGCTCAATGACGTTGACTGCATGCTTATCCTGCTTTTGTAGAGTCCAAGTCTCCGAAGTCTATGCTGAAGCGGGAACGACCGCGGTGTGGAAAATGTAAGCGCGGGGCTGGACCTTCTTTGTCTTCTTCACAACTCCTTGGATAGTGTCCCCACGCTGTGCGTTTCTTTCCGCTGAGCTCCGAAGCAAGGTTGTTCATCGTGTAGTCTTTTCGCGTTAGATACACGTAACCGATCTATCAGAGAGACTTGTTCGGCTCAGCTTGGAGGGAGCATCAAACACCAATCCGTTCCTCACGACCTTTCATTTCAGTCGATCTTTCATAGCGCTGTCGAATTCGGTCAGCATTCTTCGCGTCTGCTCGTTGTTTGGTGTTATAAGCACGATGTCTTCTGTTAAGGTGAAATGGTGTAAATAACGCCGTCGAACCCACTCAAGTGACGCATGACGTTTTTAAGAGCGGACTGAAAAGTTTGAGCGAGATGGTGTTACTCTGCCGACATCTCTTCTCAGGTTGCCAATGAATTCTTTTTGAAATGGCGAAATATTGGTCCTGAATTTGTTGAGAAGCTCACGAAGCATCCGTATATAATGAATAGGAAGTCGATCGTTGACCAGAACTTCAATTATGCTTCGGGATCGAAGGCCTTTTTCGAATCGGTGAACGCACGACATAACGGCATCCTGTATTCATATTTTGGTTAGTTTTTGTGACAATGTCGATGTGATCGATTGTATTGAACCCATCCGATCCCTTCTGACTCGCACGCCTGTCTTCATCTCATATTCTGGAAGTCCCGTTAAGGATAGTTCGGGGAGAACTCCAATCTCTCTTGCGAGCAAGTCCATGGTATTAGGCAACTTCAAGAACCATACCATACCATAAGGCTGTCCGTGAGCGACAAGGGAGGGGAGTTCGTAGTGATCCCTCGCTAACTCGATCACGAATTCATGGAACGGCACCTCGAAGATCACTCCCTATACCGAACATCCTCAGAGAAAGAGTTTCAGGGGTAGTTCCAAAGGCTGAATCAAGAATCGGTGACAGCAGCGAAATCGGCGGGACTCGACACCCATAAGCTCTCATTAGCGGATGATTTGACCTCAGTACGTCCTTCCTCTGTCAAGGGTAGACCAATTATTCACAGCGAGCAGCGTGAGGGGTCCATCATTCGACATGGAAGTTTTGTATACCAACGTAAGTAATTCTTCTGTTATGGAGGCCGTTTCAGAACTTCTCACTCAGCACTGCCACGCTCTCAACATAAAAGTGTTCTCCGTGAGACAAGTAATGGGGCTTCTCAAAGAGTGCTTTAACTGCAACGAATACAACTGATCGGGGAGGTACTTCGCGCAGACTAGAGGTTGAGTCATGGGGCAACGCCTGGCGCTTTATCTGGTCATTGCTTTTATGGCTAAAATAGAAACGCCCGTTTTGGAACGTCTGCCCATGATGTTCTGCCGATACTTCGACGACTGCTTCATAGTCTGCTCGGCACATTAGGAATGGACAAATGCTTCGATCTCATCAATGGAGAATCTGAGCTTACCAAACTAACCCGTGAGCAGCCGACCAAAAGCAGGTTCCCTTTTCGTAACGTGCAGGTCAAGCTTATAGGAGGCAGCTTTATAAGAAAGTGGCATAGAAAGCCCAACAACAAAAATATCACTGGCGGCCCGCGCATCCTCGGTAGACTAAACGCGCCGTGATCAAAAGCCTTTATAACCGCGATAAATGTCTCCACCGGCGATGATGAAAAAAAAGCGGTGGAAATGGCGTAGAAAATCGCTGCTGAGTTCAACGGCTACAAACGCCCTCCGCATTCCCTTCGGTCCATGTGGTATCCCCAGCAGACCTAGAAGAGATGTTCTGAACGGTAAAATCTCCTTCATGATACCCTTCGTCTCTGATTGAGTGAGCGCTTCCATAAGGAGGTGTCTGAAGAGATAGGGCCTCAAAAATGGTGTTAGCCTTGTGAATATTCCTCCCAATAACCTGAAACATCGTCTCGTGCGGAACCGTCTCTATGACCGCACATGCGCGAACAACTGTGTTGTCTGTCCCAATGGCAGTGATGGATACTGTGCCATCGCAGTTGTGGTTTACAGGATTATCTGCCAAAATCGCGGAGACGAATATATAGGGGAGACGGCACCGCTTGACATTCGTGTTAGGGAGCATTTCGAGGGAAAGGCGAGGTCGCGGTCATCTAGTGTTCATGTTGTCGCAGGCTTAAACGGAGACGATTTTGAAGTCATCGTCGAGGTCGTGGCGCGCGAAACCCAGACAGCCGCGCGCAAAACCTTGGGGGCGTTCTGGATACGGGTCGGTCAGGCATCCAAAAATGAACCAAAATGGAGGGAAGAATGTGTGTCATTAACGTGGGAACTGACCCCATATAAGGTTAACCTTACTGCCGGAACCCTGAACCCTCATCAGAATGACATACGCCACTATCGTCGTTCCGGTGGGCTGACTTTGCTGATCTGGAAGGTACCGGTTTTCATCTAACTATTAATTACATGGTTTCGAAGGTCCCATGGGGCATGAGAAATTCGGTCGGATAAATCACAGAAGGGTTTCCACCTTTTTTGGGCTTCGAAGAAGGCGAAAACCGCCGAGACCTTACCCGACTAATTTGTAATATTTAACATCGTGTTCAATTAAATAAAGTTGTACTCGGGGAAAAATTCGTAGATTACAGGCAGCAGACTGAGCGATAGTTGCAAATATCGTTAGTATCTGAACATTTTAGTCGTAGTTTCTGGAACCAAGCTCTGAAGTACAGCAACTTCGCCTTTTATGACAAGCCCATTCTTTAAGCAGACGGGTCAAAATGACGATAGAGACTTAAGATCGAATTTTCAGGAGACCACGATTACCAATCAACAGTTATAAAATGATAGAGATCCACGTGGTGAAGAGGAGTAGTGTACAAATCAGCTGAAAAAAATTCAAAGTTGTTTCACCGACCTGAGCATGAGGGTTCTAGATGTTCCATCGCAGTCAAATTTAAATTGATCAAAGATGACGCTTCAATCCGAATGCACATGCGTAGTATAGGAGCGTTAACGAAATTATAGAACTCAGAGGCAGTCATGCCTCGTGCCGGGAGAACATTCGGTTTTCGTAAATTCAGCATTTTTGGCTTTTTACACAATGTTGAAAAGGACTTTATATCATCACTCGTTCTGATGTCAAAATTCTTTTTGTCACATTCTGAAATAAATAAAATTGAATTAAAACAACAAATCTTCAGAAAAAGAATTATATGAGCTTCGGATGTATGTTCGGTGTTCTGTGTGCAAATCATCATGCATCGCAATTACTACAACTTCACCTCACTACATTAAATAACCGCTTTGGAAAACTCGGAAGAATAGGTATCTCTGCTCGGTTGCCACAGCGTGGTCTGGTTGCGCGCGGTGTGCCTGCATTCTAACGGCGAGTCAGTCTGCATTCGACTATTAAGTCAAGCAGCTGGCTTACGGCAGCTGGTCGGTATACTTGGATATCATGATGATGCTGCACAAAGACGAGTGCAGAAGGTCTTCCTCTATGAAGACAAGGAAAGGCTACCTCCACGCCGACCGCAGTTGCCTCTATGCTCGTCGGCTGACAGCGACCTTACTTGCCAAATTAAGTCGTCTGAGCAAGAAAAGAAAGACTGCCGAGGTCAACTGAAGCTTGAAGCATGGCAGCCGACGGGAATCGATCACTGAGATAGGTATTTTGCTGTACATTTGTTTTTTGTTATGTATTTTATACACTTAGGCGGAAATGGTGTAGTGGAAAGCGGCGCACTATCTCACACGCATGGTAAGGGGATCGAATCCCCGATCGATACACGCCTAGGCCAACCAAGTCTTCCATCAATCCGGGGTCGCTTAATTGGTACTATACTCGTCTGGGAGGATAAAACATTTGATTGTACATCGGTTGGCCATCGCAGTTCATTGTATAGGTCACATAGGCACTC